TAAGGGCACCTAGAGCTTTGGAGAGCTTCTGTTCTACCGTCTCAAAGCTCCCTGCTTGAGCAGTAATGGCACGACCTCTTACTTTTTGGAACTTCTGTATTTTCTTACAAGCATTTATTTCTTCTGGCTATTTGCTAAGCTTCAATAAAAGAAGATTTGTTTCTTCACTCTTCATGTGGCGTGTTTTAAAGTCAGAGGGCTTTTTCCTGACCTGGAATGCAACACACTGTGTATTTCATTGCAAGCAGTTCAGTGATTTGCATGGACTTAATTCCCATTCATTAACAAATAAAGCCACCCAACTTTCCCAGGGATTATCCTTCCTCCTTTTTACTCCTAGGATGCAAATTCCAGCTGTGAGTTTTCTGCTGCACTTATCTGGCCATCAATCTAGAAAAGTGAGATGCTCAAGATCGAAATCACCCAGATCAGGCAGGGGCAAACTTCAGGCCTCCAGGAGCTTTGGACTTCAACTCCCACAATTCCTAACAGCCTACTACAATTCCCAGAAGCCCCCAGCCTGCGAATGCTGCATTTGCAGGCAGGGCGCTTCTGGGAACTGTAGTAGGCTGTTAGGAATTGTGGGAGTTGAAGTCCAAAGCACCTGGAGGCCTGAAGTTTGCCCCTCCCTGACCTAGATGGTTGTCATTAACAGCTTGTTGTCCACAGTCCTTTGATGACATGGTCACTCCTAAGGCTTTAGAGACTGATCAATGACATCTCCTCATTTTTCCTTTTGGCTGGAGCAGCTCCCCATCGGGTGACGTGAGGCCGTGTGTCCAGGACCCCTCCCGCCCATTCTCCTGTTTGGTCAGCAAGTCCGAGTTCTGGAGCACCTACCGCATGAACGTGACGGAGGTCAACCCACTGGGTGCCAGCTTCCGCCTCCTGGACGTCACCCTTCACGCCATCAGTGAGTCCTGGCCCTCGGAAGAGCAGAGGGCATCACTTTCGGATGCATTGTGGCTACCTGGTTTGGGGAGGGACCCCCTCCAAATATCAGTGCCTGTGCTACTCCTCAAGTTCTCCTTTGAGGAGCATGGGACCTCCAGGAGGCCCCTCTCAACATCTAGCCTGCTAACCTTGTTCCTTGTCTCCCCCACAGTCAAGCCGGACCCTCCTGAGGGCCTTCGGGTGGATCCGGTGCCCTTTGCCCCCCAGCAACTGCTGGTCAGCTGGGAATATCCATCCAGCTGGCCCAAGAAGCCCTCCTTCCAGCTTCAGTTCCGCATCCAGTATCGGCCCATCGTCTACAGCTCCTGGTCGGTGGTGAGTAATAATTGCATAGACTGTCGGTTAATGCGTTAGTCTTTTAATACGCCCATCTGGGCCTGCACTTTGGAAGTAGTCTAGCCAACCATGGAACTTAGCTGTTATTGATTCAAGTATAATGCATGATCAAATTTTCAAAACCTTGATACCAAGAAAAGTATTTGCTGGAGAATGTAATGCACAGTTGCAAAAAGGTACTCTTTGGTGTGCCTTACAGCTGATTACTTAGAATTCCTTCAAAAGCGTTTGAACACCAGCTTCCAGTGATGGAAAAGAAAACCTTGGGCTGCATCTATGTCGTTGCTCAGCCAGCTGAGGATGATAGGTTTGGTGTAGTTCAGCCAGCTGAGGATGATGAAGAGGGGTTTGGGGGTGCAGGGCCTACAGGGCCTGACACTTCTGGAGGTGCTCAGACATAGGGGATGTTGGAACAGGATGGTGATTCCCTGGTTGGGATAATGGAGGGGGATTTGGGGGATTCTTCGTGTGAAAACATACCTCTTTTACAAGCTGACAGACAGAGAAGGGAGGAACGGAGGTTAGATAGAGAATCAAGGCTGCTTCTGCTGGGGAAAGAATTCCAAGTGCAAGCCAGCCTATGGGAAAGTGAGACCGAGAGAGACTTGTTGTTGTTCTTCACCCGTTCAGTTGTCTCCGACTCTTCGTGACCTCATGGACCAGCCCACGCCAGAGCTCCATGTCAGCCGTCACCACCCCCAGCTCCTTCAAGGTCAGTCCAGTCACTTCAAGGATGCCATCCATCCATCTTGCCCTTGGTTGGCCCCTCTTCCTTTTACCTTCCACTTTCCCCAGCATAATTGTCTTCTCTAGGCTTTCCTGTCTCCTCATGATGTCTCCTCATGATGTGAGAGAGACTACCCAAGGTCAAAGGAATGCTTTCATGCATTGCTGTCCTTAATTTGGGAAAGAATAGCTTTCGGTTCTCTGATCAAGCAACGTAGCAGATAGAGTAAGAAACTCCTGCCTTGTTCCTCGCTACAAGCCATGTCCTGGTCAAGTTTTGCTTTAAGTCTTGGGGATTTTACCATGAACTCAAGCTCATGTATTGTTCTTTGATTATGTTGCACTGCTGATTTTTGTGTGCAGCATTGCCAGTTTTGTTTCATCTCAGCAAAGTGAAGAGAGTAAAGATTTTCTGTTTACCTTGACTATTGGTCTGAGGCTATTTTGCATCTGGGTTTTTGGGCATTAGGACGCTGGATGAAAACACGTGCTGCATAACACACTTTGTGTCCCCTGAATTTCTCAGGTGGAGACGGGCAACCTGTCCAAGGTGATCACGGACGTGGTGGCCGGGCTGGTCCACGTGGTGCAGGTCAGCGCCAGGGACTTCTTGGACGCCGGCAGCTGGAGCGAGTGGAGCCCCGAGGCCTGGGGGATGCCCGCCAGCAGTAATGTCAACACAGGTAGAATAATCTCAAAATCAGTCACTGTTGTTATCTTTATTTTCTTAACATTGCCAGTTCTGTCTTTCTCTCCCACCTGTGTCTTTACCTTGTTATAAAAACTTTGTACTTTGTTTCATTCCCACCACCTATGCGTATAGGAGCCAATTTTTCCACACCTGTCCCAACACAATTTTGTGGTTGATTGTAGTATGCCAGCCTGGCATTGTGTGTAATGATCAGGTTGCTTTGGATGGTTGGAATGACAATGTTGTTCATGGGCTCCCTTCCTCACATGCCTTCCATCACTTAATACAGCCTTTACTTTTCCTCAGGACCAGTGGCCACAGTGAGCAACGAGCTCGAAGATCCAGCAGAGAATCCTTCCTTGGCCCCCAACGAGTCAGTTGGTATGTACATACATGAGTGCCAAACATGGCATTAAGCAGAAAGTGGATGGCCATCTGGAAGGCTTTGAAGGGTGGTCTAGATGGTCCTTGGGGTCTCTTCCAACTCTAGGATAATGTGATAGATATGTAGATACACTTATACTCTACTAGCCATCCCCTGCCATGCGTTGCTGTGGCCCAGTCTGTGTATATGTGTTTTGTGTGTGTATATATTTGTGTATATATGTGTGTTTGTGTATATATATGTGGGTGTATATATGTGTGTGCATATGTGTGTATATTTGTGTGTTTATATGTGTATATGTAGTGTGTATATGTCTGTGCTTTTCTATATGCATATTTGTATGTATATATGTATGTATGTGTATATGTATATATGTGTGTATGTATATGTATGTGTGCATATATTTGCGTGTGCTTGTGTATATATATGTGTGTACGTATGTGTGCGTGTATATGTATATGAGTGTATGCATATATGTATATATGGTGTAGCTGGGGCTTTTTTGTGTGTTTTTAGGGGTGATGAACACTCGTTGGACTGTTAGGTGTCTTGTGTCCAAATTTGGTGTCAATTCATCCAGTGGTTTTTTAGTTATGTTAATCCCACAAACAAACATTGCATATTATATACCGTATATACTTGAGTATAAGCCGACCCGAATATAAGCCGAGGCACCTAATTTTACCACAAAAAACTGTATTGACTCGAATATAAGCTGAGGGTAGGAAATTTAGCCACTACTGATCAATTTAAAAATAAAACTAGATAATAATAAAATTACATTAATTGAGGTACCAGTAATTTAAATGTTTTTGAATATTTACATAACACTGTAATGTAAGACTGTCCAGCTCTGACGAAACCATTATCCTTCAATGTAAATGTGCTTACGTATCCTTCCAATAACAATAAAGAGAGCAAAATAATAAATTTAATAGCTATAATAAATAGAGTAAAATAATAAATTTAATAAATAGAGTAAAATAATAAATGTAATAAAAATAATAGAGTAAAATAATGTAAATGTAATAATATCAATAATAATAGAGTGAATAATAAATTTAATAAAAATAGTAATAGAGTAATAACATAAATATAATAAAATAATACTAACAACAGAGTAAAATAATAAATAACCTTCTGTCAAGACCCAGGCAGACCAACGAGGCGAAACAGCCGCTTAAGGGTTAACAAAAGGTGTTTAATGGCAATTAACAAGTCAAATGGCTCTTATCAGCAGAGCATGTAAACAAAAGAGCCTGCGGCTTGCAGGAATGTAAACAAACAGCAACCCAGGCAGTCTGGGCAGCAAAAAAGGAAACTGAAGTAAGGCAGGCAAAACAGTTCGTGGTTAGAATGGAATACAGTCAGTTCAAAAATCACAACACAAAAAGCAGTATGAGGAACGGTCCGAAGTCCACGCAGGAGACAGGCAGAATTGAAGAATAGTCAAGACGGTCCAAGGTCAGGGCAGGAGACAAGACTCACGGTTCCAAGCCAGGCAAGGTAGTCAGCACGATCACGGAAACACGATTCTGGATGCAAGGACTCAAGGCAAGAGTTAACAGCAGGATACACAGGTACACGACACTTTGAACTCTGCAACATGATAGCCCCAAAGCTACTCCTTAAATCCCATCAGAGTCGCTGGATTCGCCTCCAGGTGCATCCAGTTCCACAGGTGAACTGCGTTCCCTCCATTGTTGCCAGTCTGCACTCCGGGCTGCATCCTGAGAAGCAGTATCCGAAACCCATGAGTCTGTGAACCCTTGGAACTCCCCACTGGAAGTTGGAGCATTAATCACATCCTGAACCTCCTGGACCCTAGTCCAGTCCAGCTCTTCATCATCACTTTCAGACCCGTAGCTATCTGCTATGTCTTTAAGACGCTTGGAAATGGATTCCTCATCGCTATCTGAACTGCGTGCTACTCGCTTTACACCATGGTAATCCTCCATCTCCATCTCCTCATGAGTAAACCCCTGAAACTCTTCCTCATCACTAGATTCTAGGAACATGTCCCTAATGCGCTTCAGCTGCTGCTGAGCATCTTCCTCTTCCAAGCCTCATTTCCTCCTACTAGCACTAGTAGATACAGAAGGCACACGCTGTTACAACATGCACATCCTGTTTTAAAGACAACTATTTACAGGTCCAATGCGTGACAGAACACTGGTGCCCTCCAGAAGTTCGTGAAGTACAACTCCAGTTATCATAGTCAGTAACCATACTGCCTACGAACTCTGGAATTTTCAGGCTAAGTACATCTATAGGGCACCAGCGTATACAACATTGCCTTAATCCTGGAGGCTGTTTACTTGCAGCATGGATAAATAATCAAACAGATACATTGGCTCAGCAAAATAGATAGCCTGTAGTGATGAGTAAAGATTGTTGTTTGCAGCTGAGATATCATTTACCATTTATGAAGGCATGGTTCAGAATGCTTAGATCAACTGTAGTTGAAGCTGTTTATCAGCATTTCTATCTTTTAAGTAGCCGAGTTCATTCCAGGGGGTTCTGCCAATTTGAAACTTGCAGCTTTTTTCCCAATGCCTCCCCATTGCGTGGGCACAGGGCATGGGCGCTGAGGAGAGAGCTATAGAAGCAAACAACCTTGTTTCTCCTCCTTTTGGTGTTAAATTTTAATTTTCTCTCCTTTAAATTTCTTAGCACTCTCTTTTAAATAATGCTAAGTGTTTCTAAATTATACATAGGCCTGCAAGCTTTGTCATTATAAATTCTGCTTTAAGGAGAAAAGGTAAGTACAAGCATAAATTATTGAAGCGCTCTATATAAATATTACCATACTTGATTTACTGTAAGGGCTACAACTCTAAATGTACAATTTAAAGAAACAGGATCAAGGACAAAACTGGGAAACCCAAACATGACCTGATATGATGAGCATATCAACCTGAAGATCTTTTCCATATAAATATTTATGTTTGCTCCTAGTCACAATGTGGTCAAGGAATACAGTAATGCTGTATGAATTTTGTTGGGGTAGCTGTTAGGATGGCTATTTGACTGAGGTGATGAAAAGAGAATTGGAAGCAGAGAAAATTAATGGAGAAGATTCCTATCTGGACCAGCCTCAGTGTTTAGCTATTGGTAGTAGCTTGTTTACAATAGATAGCCAGGCAAACTCCAGATAAGACCACAGCTTCGAAAAACAACTATCTCCATCAGTGTTTCTCAACCTGGGGGTCGGGACACCCATGGGGGTCGCGAGGGGGTGTCAGAGGGGTCGCCAAAGACCATCAGAAAACATAGTATTTTCTAGGTTCTTGTGGGTTTTTTCGGGCTATAGGGCCATGTTCTAGAGGCATTTCTCCTGGCGTTTCGCCTGCAAACACAACATACAAACAATCTACAAACCCACCAAGAAAATCCAACAAATGCTACGTTCAGCAAAGGACAAGAGGGATCCTCTCACCTCTGCAGGAGTCTACCGTATACCATGCAGCTGTGGACAAGTCTACATAGGGACCACCAAACATAGCATTGTCCAAACACAAATCAAGGAACATGAAAGGCACTGCAGACTACTTCAACCAGAGAAGTCAGCCATAGCAGAGCACCTGATGAACCAACCTGGACACAGAATACTATTTGAGAACACAGAAATGCTGGACCACTCTCACAACCACCATGTCAGGCTACACAGAGGAGCCATTGAAATCCACAAGCATGTGGACAATTTCAACAGAAAGGAGGAAACCATGAAAATGAACAAAATCTGGCTACCAGTATTAAAAAACTCTAAAATTACAACAGCAAAACAACAGAGAGGAAACAACCAGGCACATCTTAACACCTCTCAACAAAAGATTTTCCCAGGCTCAGCCAGGCCTTCAAATGCTAATGAAGGTGATCAGCTGAAACATTCACACCTAGCTCCAGCAGGAAGAGCTCCTTGCCCCACCCCAGCCATTCCACAGATATATAAACCCATTGTCCTAATTCCAACAGACCTCACTACCTCTGAGGATGCTTGCCATAGATGCAGGCAAAACGTCAGGAGAAATGCCTCTAGAACATGGCGCTATAGCCCGAAAAAACCCACAAGAACCTAGTGATTCCGGCCATGAAAGCCTTCGATAATACATAGTATTTTCTGTTGGTCATGGGGGTTCTGTGTGGAAAGTTTGGTCCAATTCTATCGGTGGGGTTCAGAATGCTATTTTATTGTGGGTGAACTATAAATCCCACAATTACAAATGGCAAGGTCTGTTTTCTTCAAACTCTACCAGTGTTCACATTTGGGCATATTGAGTATTTGTGCCAAGTTTGATCCAGATCCATCATTGCTTGAGTCCACAGTGTTCTCTGGATGTAGGTGAACTACAACTCCAAAAAACTCAAGGTCAATGTCCACCAAACCTTCCCAGTATTTTCTCTTGTTCATGGGAATTCTGTGGGCCAAGTTTGATTGAATTCCATCAGTGGTGGAGTTCAGAAGGCTCTTCGATTTTAGGTGAACTATAAATCCCAGCAACCCCAGCATTACCAAATGACAAAATCAATCACCCCCAATCTCACCAGTATTCAAATTTGGGAGTATTTGGTATTTGTGCCAAATTTGGTCCAGTGACTGAAAATACATCCTGCATATCAGATACTTAGATTACCATTCATAACAGTAGCAAAATTACAGTTGTGAAGTAGCAACGAAAATAATATTATGGTTGGGGGTCACCACAACATGAGGACCTGGACTAAGGGGTCAGGGCATTAGGAAGGTTGAGAACCACTGATCTACATTGATTGAAGAATGTGGGAAAATTACAGATGAGTGCCCTTACGTTGATTTTTTCCATTTCATTGGCAATTGCTGGAAAAACGGATGCCTCATGGTGACCCACTCACCCGCCTTCCTTCTCCCATCACATGAGGACATCGAGATAAGACATGTTCCGGCCCAGTCTATCTATCTGAACATATCTCTTCCTATGAACCCCCCAGGAACCTAAGATTGTCTGGGGAGGCCCTGCTCTCAATCCCGCCTGCTTTGCAGGCTCGTCTGGCAGGGATGAGAGACAGGGCCTTCTCTGTGGTCGCCCCTCGGCTGTGGAACTCCCTCCCTAGGGATATTAGATTAGCTCCCTCCATTCTGACTTTCCGAAAAAGACGTTGTTAGTCTTGTTGGCAGAAATGAAAGCGGTCGGCTCTTTGTGCGGCAGTACGCCATGCTCTTTCCAAATAGGGTTGCTGCCTCTTCAAGGGTCTCTTGCATCGGTGAGTGAGTCCCCCTCGGGGAGTCCCCTCACCCCCGCCAGGAGTTGCCCTCCTTGAGATTCGCTGCCAGATCGACCTGACCTGTCAATTTGGGGAGATTTGTCGTTCTCCTCACCCAAGTTTGGAAGGTCCTGGTCTCTGTGCTTGGAGAGCTTCAGAGACCCGGTGTTGCCGCCATCACCCGGAAGTTTCACTTTCTGAAAAAGAGTAAAAACCTGGCTCTTCGAGCAAGCATTCGGAACCCTGGAATAAACAAACAAACTAGAGTTGGAAATTGACCCAGGAACGGCCAAGACAATGTAACAGATGAGGATTTGAACGAGAGGACATAGTTCTTTTTTAAATTGTTTATTATGCACTGTCGTTTATGTTTAATTTGCACTTAAAGTTTTTGATTTATTAATGTATGTATTTTGTTTCGGCATCGAATTGTGCCGACTATGTATACCGCCCTGAGTCGCCTTCGGGCTGAAATGGGCAGTATAGAAATAATGCAAATAAATAAATAAATAAATGTTGCCCTTTTCCCCATCAGATGGGGGAAAGTGGCCAAAAAACGTGGGTAACTCCATTGGAGCTACCCAAAACACAACTTACCTCTCGTTGTTAGCAATAAAGTGTCTTGTGATAATTCCTCGCTACTTCAACCATAAATGGGGCAGGGCCACAGCCTGCATTATGTGATGGTGCTCAGAAGAGGAACAAGGAGCCATTTTACCCCTGTGGATGAGGTGGCTAGACAAGTTACTTTCTCAACGCCTTAACAAGATGTGAAGGCTATTATTACCATCCAGGTATTCCCAGCACCTATTATTCAGATGTAGTATATACATTCATGTGCAAGTTAACTTTATGTATAAGTTGAGGGCAAGTTTTAGGGCCAGAATTATGGATGTTGAAGTCACCCATGGATAAGCTGAGGATCACTTGCAGAGAGAGGAAAGCATCATGCGCAGTGGTTCTCAACCTGGGGTCCCCAGATATTTTTGGCCTACAACTCCCAGAAATCATAGCCAGTTTACCAGCTCTTAGGATTTCTGGGAGTTGAAGGCCAAAAACATCTGGGGACCCCAGATTGAGAACCACTGTAGAGAGAGGAGAGGAGGGGTCTGTGCTTATCCAGTTTCTCCCAGGGCAGACTAAACTCTCACCTTTTTGCCACTTGGCACATAGAAGGAGATGGCTCCTTTGTTAATAAGAGCAAAGAAACAGCACTTATATTGCCTGTGGACAAGTTAATCCAGGTTTTGGGGGTCAATTAATTACTAATATTGTGAGATATATACATGTGTATATGCAGTAAAATGTATCTGCAGACACACTTTGTACTTTGCTCATGGTGCCTTTGACTATGACTCTGGAGAGCAGGTCATAAGATGGAAACCCACTGGGTGACCTTGGGTAAGTCACCCTCAGTTGGAGGCAATGAATAACCCTGGCATAGGCAAATTTTCTAACTTGAGGGCCACATAGCAGGCCAGAGCGGGGTGAGCAGGCCAGGAGGGAGTTCTCCCCAAGTCCCTTCCCTGCCAGGAGGACTGGCTGCCTGGAGAGAAAGGGAGCTTTTCCCTCCTGTTACACCAATCTCTCACATTTACTCTCTTTCTTTCTCTCTGCAAGGCACCAATACACACATGGAGCCCCCAGTGGCACAGTGGATTAAACTCCTGTGCCGGCAGGACTGGAGACCTATAGGTCGCAGGTTCGAATCCAGGGAAAGCGCGGATGAGTTCCCTCTATCAGCTCCAGCTCTCCACACAGGGACATAAGAGAAGCCTCCCACAAGGATGATAAAAGATCAAAAATATCCAGGCGTTCCCTGGGCAACGTCCTTAAAGATGGCCAATCCTCTCACAGTTTTTCAAGTTGCTCCTGACACAAAAAAAAAACCCAGTACGCACAAACCCCTCTTCTTGGAGACTCAGCCTTTACACAAAATAGTGGTGTATGGGGAGGGAAGGGGGTACGTTTGATATGGGAGGCAGGGGAGAAAGCTGAGAGGCAGTTGAAGAGATGAGATGTCCCATTTCTCCCCTCTTAAATGTTTTTAATGTTTTAAATCCTTACATTGTTTTAAATTGATTTCATATGAACATCAATCTGATATCTGGTGATGTAGATGAGCTATTAATATAATAAAATGTAAATAAGTCTGTATCTACCTCCAACTCAGTTGGTTTGGAATGAGCGGAAAGCAACCCTATGTCTTATTTCAGGCTTTTATACTTTTCCTTTTTTAGGTACTCAGAAAGATCTGGTCAACTTGCTCCTCCCACGTGGATGGATTGGGATATCTGACTGTGAGATGATGGGCTGGAAGGAATACAGGCCTCAAGCAGATGTTCCTACAAATGTTTCTTGAAGCTGCAAGAAGAGGACCAGTGAAGATGTTTGCAAAGCTCCAGGTGCTTGTGCTGGCTTTGTTGTCCAAAGGAGTCTTCCCTACTCTGGGTGACCACAACTTTATAAGGAAAGAAGTTAAATTTGAAGGAGACCTGGTTTTAGGGGGTCTGTTTCCAATTAAGGAGAAAGGAAGTGGTGCAGACGAATGTGGCAGGATCAATGAAGATCGAGGCATCCAGCGCCTGGAGGCAATGCTGTTTGCAATTGATGAGATCAACAAAGACAACCACTTGCTCCCAGGAATTAAACTTGGAGTGCATATTTTGGATAGTTGCTCACGGGACACGTATGCATTAGAGCAGTCACTGGAGTTTGTCAAGGCTTCTTTGACTAAAGTGGATGAAGCAGAATACATGTGTCCTGATGGGTCATACGCAATTCAAGAAAACATCCCGTTGCTCATTGCAGGTGTTATTGGAGGTTCTTACAGCAGTGTCTCTATACAGGTAAGAAATTTTACTTCTTAAAAAACAAAACTCGAATGTATTCTCCCTTATGAACCATCAAGATTATTAAGATCGTCTGGAGAGGCCCTGCTCTCGGTCCCACCGGCCTCGCGTGTCTGGTGGGGACGAGGGACAGGGCCTTCTGGGTGGTGGCCCCTCGACTCTGGAACTCTCTCCCACAGGAGATCAGAACCGCCCCTTCTATCCTGACATTCAGGAAGCAGGTGAAGACGTGGTTATGGAGACAGGCATTCGATGAGTGAGCCAACACCCGGAGATATGGATGGAGGACGATGAACATCAAATTTAGTGGGACGACTGACCATTGTATTTATTGAATGTAATTGCTGTTTTGCTGTTTTAATGTTTTAATGTTTTATTGCAATATGACTGTATGTATTTTATGGTTGGAAACCGGTCTGAGTCCCTCAAGAGAGGTGAGAAGGTTGGTATATAAAACTTTTAAATAAATAAATAAATCAAAGAAGAACAATCTGGCTTTTTACCAAATAGACAACAAAAAGAAAATGTCAGAACAATATTAGACCTGATTGAATATTATGACATTAATAACCAAAAGAAGGTAATGTTTCTCGCCCTCGACGCAGAGAAGGCCTTCAACAAGGTAAATTGGGACTTTTTTTAAGGCACTTATGAAAGAGATGGACATTGGATACTACTTTCAAAATATGATATCTGCAATTTATGAGAGGCAAGAGGCAAAAATTTGGATTAATAAACAAGAAACAGAGAAAATTGAAATAGAAAAAGGGACAAGACAGGGATGTCCCCTTTCGCCCCTAATATTTATTCTGACTCTAGAGGTCTTATTAGATAAAATCAGAGAAGACAAAGAATTGGAAAGTACGAGAATACACGGTCAAGATTATAAACTACGGGCATATGCAGACGATATTATTTGTATAATAGAGGATCCGGAGAAAAATTTGGGAAAATGGATAAGAACCATAAATGAATTTGGCGAGGTAGCGGGTTTTAAATTAAATCTAGATAAGACAAAAGCCCTAACAAAGAACATCACACGAAAAGAAAAGGAGAAATTGGCAGAGAAATGGGACATCCAGATTGTAACTAAATTAAAATACTTAGGTATAATATTAACAGCTAAGAATCTACAGCTACTACAGAATAATTACATCGAAGGATGGAAAAAAATGAAAAAAGAATTGGAAAGCTGGAGGAATCTGAATTTGTCACTCTTAGGGAGAATCGCTAGTGTAAAAATGAAAATATTACCTAAAATGATTTTCCTCTTTCAAAATTTACCTATAATTAGAAATCAAAACATATTAAAAGAATGGAACAAGGAGATAATGAAATTTATTTGGCAAGGCAAAAAAGCAAGAATTAATTTCAAAAATATGATAGAGGACACAAAGAGGGGAGGATTTGCAGTGCCCGATTTAAGATCATACTTTGAAGCCAGTGCATTAATGTGGGCCAAGGACTGGGTAGAACTGAAAAAGGAGAAATTGCTTACTTTAGAAGGAATTGAGTTAAGAACAGGCTGGCACCATTACCTATGGTACGAAGGTCAAAAAAAGGAAAAAAAATTCGGGAACCACTTCACCAGATCGGCTATCATAAAGATTTGGCAGAAATATAAAGCAAAAATCTGTGACAAAACTCCCTTATGGTTATCCCCCTTGGAGGCCACGCAAAGAAGGGAAATGGGATGGAATAACTGGCCCATGTACAAAGAATTATTAAAAAAGGAAAGAGGAGAGATGGTTAATAAAACACAACAAGAAATGAACATGATAAATAAAAATATATCGTGGTTTCAACACAGACAAATAACTGAGTGCTACAAAAAAGACAGAAGGTACGGTTTTCAAGAACAGGATACCTTCTGGGATAAGATACTAAAAACGGATAGAAAGGTAATAACAAAATTGGCTGAAAGTAGCACATAGATGGTACATGACCCCCAAAAAATTGAATAATTCGTATAAAATTTAAATTACACATGTTGGAAGTGCGGGAGGGCTCCTATTTCCACATGTGGTGGTCGTGCCAAAAAGCAAAAGTATATTGGAAAAAAATCCATAGAATAACACAGGAAATCTTAAATATAAAATTACCACTCACGCCTGAGGCATTTCTATTAGGAATATTCGATGTAAGAATGGAAAGAAATACAGACAAACTCCTCTTTTTAATGAACACGGCCGCAAGAATTTGCTATGCGAAACTCTGGAAAAAAGAAGAAATACCGGAAACAAAAGACTGGATAGAAAAAATATTAGACATTAGAAATATGGATAGATTAACTTATCTGTTATCCAAAAACAAAGGAACCCCAATAAAAGAAACTGATTGGACAAAGGTGACAAATTATGTTAACCAATTAAATAATAATACAGAAGAATAAGTAGAAGAGAAGAACAGAGAAGAATTCAAAGATGGAAGAAGGAAAAGGAAGACCCACTTGGAAGACACAAAGGAAGTCAACGAGAGAGACAATAACACCTGTCTCCAAGTTTTATTTGTTTTTAATCTTTAATCTTTACTTTTTTTCTACTTTCTATTACCCTCCCACTTTCTGCCCCCCTCCACCATTTTTCTCCCTTCCCCCATTCTCCCCTCTCTACTTTTCCCCTCTCCCCTCTACTTTCTATTTCTAGATGACTTTGTAACATAAAAGAAACTTTCAATAAAGATTATTTTAAAAAAACCTTTTAAATAAATAAATAAATAAATTGTAGGAGAGGAAGTCACACAAACTCGTGTGGCCATTATGGAAGCTACCAATAGGTACTTTAAGTCTACAGCGACCCAGACTATTGGGGGAAATGGATGGTCCTTTAAAGTCCTCTTCACACAGGAGTTTTTCAGCTCTGTTTTTTCCAGTTTTGGCCAAACCAGGCCGGGGCCTGCCGAACATCATCAGACAATGCTCAGCAGGCCCCATCCATATTCATCCCAAAGTGGAAAGGAAGCGTTGCAAGTTTCTTCCACCCTTTCTCCCATCTGATGAGGACAAGGTGCCAAAGCGCCTTGTTCTATCCCCACCATATGATGGGGAAACGAGGGAGGGCACGTAGGGAACCAAAAGCCACCCTACAAACCTTCTACTGCAACTTCCAGCAAAATGGCTTGGCCCCAGGGGCCATGTGAAGAGGTCCTAAGTGCTGCTGAAATGTTGCTCTCATGAGCCTTGGTCCATAGTCCAGTGGTGAAGGACAATGGAAATGGGAGCTCTGCAACTTCTGGAAGTCTTTAACTTTCTTGTTCCTTTGATGGTCAAAACCATGACTTTTTTTACATATTAAAAAAAGAACTGATCAATAAATAGGATTGGGGTCATGTGTACAATTATCTGGAAGAAACTCCCATTAAACCAAGTGAACCTGAAAAAATTATTACAGGAGTAGTAGTACCTAAGAATTTGGTAGGTACCATTTATTTATTTATTTATTTATTTATTTTCTATATTTATATACCGACCCTCTCAGTGCGCACTAAGCTCTGCTTTGAATTATGATTGCATATAAACTGAATCCCAGAATTAACATGTTAATTCCATCTATTTTTTATTTGGAGTACTTATACCACGCTCTTCAGTCCCAAAGATTCTCAGAGTGGCTTACAAAATGTTAATTTGCCGTCAGGCTTACATTCTAACTAAATTAGCCCCCTGACATGTACCAATTTGCACCAATCCCTGTAAATAAATACCTATTAACGGGTTTGTGCCTTCAGTATTGTTTTGTAACTTCACGAAACAGTAATAGGTATTTCAGGGGAAAACAATGCAAATTGACTCTGACCTATGGTGGCCTTGTCATAGGGTTTCCTTGGCATTATTTACTCAGAGGAGCTTTTCTAGTCACTTCATCTATGACCAAATTAATGTGATTTGTTAAGCAATTATTGCTGTCTTGAACACAACTCTGAGACCATTGCCTTGTCAGTAGAATGGAGGGGGTTTTGAAGGAAAATTCTAGTTTATACTTTAAAATGGGGCTTGGTTTCTTCCAATGGGGACTAGGATTCAAGCAGATGACTCTACCCTTCTGAAGCTCCCTGTCTAATGCATGAAAGTCTACTTTCAATTCAAATTTCTCAAGCATAACTCCTAATAGCAGTTGATCTATATAGTTGTAAACTTCAATAGGCAATGTATGGTCAGTGGCTGAGTGAAAGGCGGTGTAAGTGGGTATCCTAAAAAAGCATCCTAGAATTATAGAATTATAGAATTGGAAGAGACCTCATGGGCAATCCAGTCCAACCCCCTAACAAGAAGTAGGAAAATTGCATTCAAAGCACCTCCAACAGATGGCCATCCAGCCTCTGTTTCAAAGCCTTCAAAGAAAGAGCCTCCACCACACTCCAGGGCAGAGAGTTCCATTACTGAGTTCCTAAGTTCCATAATGGAATAAACATGGCTTTCTTGTTGTTCATTCGTTCATTCATTTCAGACTCTTCGTGACCTCATGGACCAGCCCATGCCAGAGCTCCCTGTCGGCCATCACCGCCCCCCAGCTCCTTCAAGGTCAAGCCAGTCACTTCAAGGATGGCATCCATCCATCTGCCCTTGGTCGGCCCCTCTTCCTTTCTCCTTCCATTTTCCCCAGCATCATTGTCTTCTCTAAGTTCTCCTGTCTTCTCATGATGTGGCCAAAGTACTTCATCTTTTCCTCTAATATTCTTCCCGCCAATGAGCAGTCGGGCTTTATTTCCTGAAGTGTGTACTGGTTGGATCTTCTGGCGGTCCAAGGTACTCTCAGAACCTTCCTCCAACACCACAGTTCAAAAGCACCTATCTTCCTTCTCTCAGCTTTCTCTATGGTCAAGCTCTCAGGGCTAGTCCAAATTATTTTGCTAATCAGGACAACTGACTCCACATACACACAAGCTGAGGTTTCACAGTAACCAAAGATGTCCCCCTTACTTTGGCTTCTGAGGAAGAAACTGGGCTGGACTTGACTGGCAAATGGTATTGCCATGGAAAGGTAACATTTATTCAACAACCA